ATTGGAAATCCCATTTACTCCAGCTATTCCACTTCTAGGCATATTCCCAGAAGAACTGAAAGCATCATACCACAGTGACATATGTGCACCTATGTTTACAGCAGCACAATTTGTAATCGCCAGATCTTGGAAACAACCCAAGTGTCCATCAACTGAGGAATGGATAAAAAAGTTGGGTATTTCTATACAATGGAGTATTATTCAGCTATAAATAAGGATCACATTGAGATATTTATCAATAAATGGGCGCAGCTTGAGACCATACTCATAAGTGAAATTAGTCAATCTCGCATGTGTGAATACCGAATAGTTTCCCTAATGTAAGTAATGATTCAAGTATATAAAAATATGTGGTAATCATGATTCCCCATTATGTGGCCTTGAAGCCTTATAAAGTTTTCACTCATTAATTAGAAAGGCTTTATTCTGGGCTTCTTGATATGGAAATATTTGAAGCTATAGTATATGAAGTTTTATCCACATATTTCAAGGAAAAAGACAGACACTATGGTATCTACTATTAAGTCAGGTTATATGGTGGTGAAGTACTAGGTTATTGAAACAGTCATGCTGTGACCTCTATTGTTATATTGTTATGTCCTGTTTTATCTCAATCTCCCCCTTATTCTTTAAAAAAAATTATTTAGTTATTTCTTATGTTTGTCTTAAATAAGGAGGAAAATTTTAAAAATTAGGATATATAATAGTAACTATTTTTGATTTCCTATTAACTTGTTTTGAAGTCCTGTAATACTCCCACAATCTTGTTTTGACTGATGAGACTCTGTTCCATTCTGTATGATAGTATCAAGTTTGAGGGTATAGGCAACTACTTTGAAGGCAATAAGGATTCACTAAGATGCCCATTCTGGTTTGACTATTGTCTCCTTTGGAAGTCCTGTAATGTTTACAATGCCTAAGTTTTATTGGTCTTGTTCTCTACTGTTTTGCTCAACTTTATAATATCTAATGAGATAGACAATTCTTTTTAAGGAAACAAGAGACAACGTTGATAACCATTGTTAATAACCTTGTACTCTGTTCTACATCATGTGCTATGTCTATCCTTGGTTTTGACTTACAGCTTTGTTTTGCCATATTTGACTTTATTCTCCCCCTGCCAAAAAAAAGTAATAAGAACTAAGGAGTAATAAAATCCAAAATGTGTAAATTTTGTTGTAAAAAATAGAGGGGAAAAATAGCTATAACGGATATAACAGCAAGTGTGTTTAGGGGTGTTAAATAGCTGACTATATCAATGTTTTTGAATCATTGAACACAGCTGTTTGCAGTCTCCCTGTTTGAATGTCCACTTTGTATTCTTTGATTCTGTGATTTGAGCAACTATTTCCAAGATGATAATATGTAATCTATTAACAGGTGATTTCCTACTGTTATTTTTTTTTGTAGTTACGTATTACGTGTACCCTTACACCGCTTTGTTTTGTTTTGTGTTTTTCTCTTTTTCCTCTTAAATAAAATAAAAAAACAAGTCCAAGTAGCTCATGAAATAATTCAGTTGATACTTAAATCATTGTATTAATCTAAAGGAGAAGAGCTATGATACTGGAATAAAAATGGCAGTGTTCTCAGGTGCACAGAAGAAACAGGAGAATGAGTAGAGGGGCAAAAATACTCAGTGGGAGGAGTTTCCTGGGATCCTTAATGGTGAAGGAGGTTGAGAGAGCACTGGGTTTTATCTTATGGAAGCCAATGGATGCAGTGTGTTGAGTAGGAACTGGTGTGGCTACGAATAACAAGAGCTCTAGGCTTAAGATCCCAGTTGAATGAATATAGATGAGCTCAACAAACAGAGCAAGGCTGGAGGCACAGTTGTGGGATCTTTTGAAATCTGCATTAATCAAAGTACTGGGTGGTTTGTCTTTACTACAGGAAACAGTGTCTAATGAAAGGTACAGATGCCTGCAGTGCCACGGCAAGCAGGCTGGGAAGAGCATAGTGATTTTGAATTCATCCACTGGAATCCACTCTGCTTTTAGAGGATATTGACATGGGAGGTTCTCCTGCTTTATCTACATATCTCCAGATATTTAGGGGCAGGCTCAAAGAACATATTCTGGTTCTCATTTCATAGTGTCTGTCTCACTGATTTCTGTTTTTCTTTCCTTTTTGGGGCTGTAACTGAGGAAATGAAGCACTATGAGAAGTTAGGGCATTCAGGAAAAAAAGGGTGACAGCCAACGTCAAGGTTCACCCCCTTTTTAAATTCATGAACTGAAAGGAGATATCAAAAAGCACAAAAACAAATGTGCTGTCTCCCTAATACGTGGAAGCCAGAAAAAAAGACATGACAGTATAAAAAAGACAGGGGAGAGGAAAGGAGCACAGGTGGAAGGGAGCTCAATAAGGAGGGAAAATATGGTCAGATATTCTCTATATATTGTGACAATGTCACAATAAAACTCAATATTTTAAAAAATTAATGTATAGTAATTAAATATGCATGTGTTGAAAAAAGAAATATGCTAAGCAAATGGAATCTAAAAGAGATGAAGTCATAGAAGTTGAGGGAAGAATGGTGACAATCTGGGTAAGATAGGGGCACAAGGAGGAGAACAAGAAAAAGGCTCATTAACAGGTGCAATTTTGGTGTTTAGCAGCAGGGTCACATTTGGTGGAATATGGCACAACAAGGTGAGTATGATGAACAGTGATGCCTTAAATATCTCACAATATTTATAAAAGAGCAATTTGAATGTGCTCATGGTAAAAAAAAATGACACATGTTTCAGGGTTATGGCTATATTAGTTATACTGAGTTGATCTTCTTGCTCAAAACATCACACCACCCCTCACAAATATGTACACATATTCTGTGTCAATCAAAAATATGCAACAGTATCAGGCTATTTAAAGAAGAGGGGCTATGCAATGACTTGAATCTCAAAGATGTCCTTTACACACTCAGTCCCTTATGATACCTGTGAGAGTTGACAATAAATGATTAAATCAACTGGTAACAAAAACATACTATATAAGGATCTAAACACCTAGCTCTAAATTTTAAGGATGGTTTGTTTGCCATAGTTGGGGCATGGAAGGAGGCAGACTGGGCTGCTCATGATCAGTTCAGACAACAAAGGTTGAAGCATGCTGAGAATGCTGTGTTTTAAATTTGGGCTAAAAAGTTTAATTTAGAATATTCTCCTTTAAAAAACAAAAATAAAACATTCTCCTTTAAAGATTAATGAATTTTGCAGTACAGATGCAGTCTGATTTGTCTGCATTTCTTTCTGTCCCTTGCAGTGATCAGTATGTATTAAGTGCTTATTAACTATTGATCAAATTAATGATATTTCTGCTAACTACTGCTTCCTCTACCGTAAACATAATTTTTATTAGCTACTGTTTACTAAGCATTTACCATGTGCTGGACCTGGGAACAATCACTTTTGAGCATCACATCCAGTGCTCTGATAATCGCTGGGTTAGATGTGTTGAGTTTCTAGAATCAGATGGTTGGGAAATGACAGTCTGTTTGGCCATGAACCTAAATGACACCCAACAGTGCTGAATCCAACCAGTGGAATAAATGGAAACCAGCTGACTCTGAAATCAGAAAGACTTTGCTTCCCATGTTCTTCCCTAGATTTCCCTCATGATGTTAAGGTACCTGCACATTTTCAATTCCTTTGTTACATTTCTAGAAAGCATCCCAGCACACAGCATTGCTGTCAGCTTTTCTGTCCTAACACTCATGGTTGCTGCCTCACACACCAGTTTGATTGCAAGGGCCCCTGTCCTTCTAGGGCTCTGCATATAGGACTCTGGACTACCACAGTAGAAGGATGGACAAGAGGGATATGGAGGGTGGTGGAGAGGAGGCCAGAGCTGAATTTCTCTAGTAGTTTCCCTGCCTGGCACACTTGGTTGCAGCTGTAATACAGACACTGTCAAGTTCCTTTCAGGCTCATGGGGAGAAACATAACCCAGCGCAGAAGACTGCAGTCTTGGGAGCCATGTTGTTTGAATTTGAAGTCAAACTTTTTCCTCATTGGGAAGCCCAGGTGTTAATATACATAAAATGTTTAAAATAGGTTTGCAAAAAATAACAATATGCAATAAAACAACAATTGTTAAATTTCTTTCATTCTGTTTTGAAAGCCTATATTGCTATTCTTTTGAATTTGTTGTTGCTGTTTGTCTCTTTTGCTTTTGGTTTTTCTTTCTGACTTCTTTTTTCTTTTTTGTTGGGGTTCTGCAAGCAAAGGGAAAATAAAGTGTCGCACACACTAAAGGTCAGCAAAATGGCTGCCACCTAGCCAGCCTAAGCAAGTAGCTTTTATTGAGATAAAAACCAAAGAAACTCAAATTGTGCATGCTCAGATTATATAACTTGTTTCTTGACCTTACAGGACCTCATGTTTTTACTTTGGGGTGGGGATGATGTTTCAAGGCCTGCACTTTTCCCATAAAATTATCGACTGGATGGGTCTGGGACAAAATGGAGTCAGTGTGGCCTCTCTACACTTTTTAAAATAAAAAAAATAAAAATAAAAATAAAATAGGCTTGCAATACAGCATGTGAATGTCGATGTTCTCTGTGCATATATCACTTGGGTTATCCTTCAGTATCTGAGTTCCATATCCACACAGCCAGTAAAAGATGGTTTGGAAATAATCAGAAAAAACACGTTTCTTTCCTCACCATGCACAATGTTTTTTCTGTTATCATTCTCCAGTCAATAGAGTACAACAACAATTCACATGACATTTTCATTGTTATGATTACTTAAAATATATGAGGAGATATGTGTAAGTCAGATACAAATAATATGCTGTTTAATAGAAGAGACTTGAACATCTACAAATTTTGGGTATGTTTTGGTCCTGGAACCAATCTCCTCTAGACGCTAAAAGACAACTTCATATGGTTTGTAGAGTTTGTTCTGTTTTCTTGGCCTTGAATGGATCATGAATGTAGAGCACTGAAGAATTAACAAAATTGAGATGGAGTTCTTTCCATCTCCATGCATTGTCTATGCTCTTCCAGATAAGGAGGAAAAAATTCTCTGATCTAAGCAATGAGATCAAATCAAATTCTGCACAGCCAATAGATCTACAGTAATGGAAAAGTGTGTTGAAAGCAGCCAGGGATGCACCTCTCAGAGATGATGGGAAGTAATTCCCAGGGTTGGGACTGCAAGTGTCCATCCACTATGGCAAAGAGATGGGATTCACATGAGTGATGTGTTCAGATAGATGACAGTGAGAGTCAATTGAAGGTGTGGTGATCAGAAATGATACTAAATTGTGAGAGGGAGCCTATCCTTGGTGCCAGACTACCACAGAAAGAGTATAGCTAAAATAAGGGAAAGACTGATTGATTACTCACTGAGACTAGAAAGAGAAGAGTATTAGTCTGATACTACTGGACTGACATTTGCTAGGCCCCCACATAGCTAAAGAAAAGAGAAATGGCAGAAAAGGGCAAATACAACAAGGAGACCAGTCTAGCAGGTGGACATCTTGTTCTTGTATTTTTACCTCTATTATACAAAATGGAACTTTAAGAATTCCCCCATATGCCAGTAATGGGTGTTATATGCTGTAGAATATTATCATTGTGAGTTGTTGAATGTACAGTGCTGCAGTGGGGCAGAGTACGGCTCTGGTGTGAGGAAGATGCTGGAGCTGAATCAGAGTCCACATTTTTACTTCCAGTGTGATGCTCAGTAAGTTAGTATCCCTCCAAGTCTTTCTCTTCTCATTGGTGACATAGTGATAGTGCAATAAATACCAAAGCTGTGTAATGAAAATTTGATTAGATAATTTAGCATATACTAAGTGCACCATAAAGGCTAGATGTTAGGATTATTATAACAACCGGTTGTTTTCTTTTGGCTGAAGAAATTCCTTCCTCTTTTTGGCCATGAATGGTCAATAGACAAGTGACCACAAAACAAACAAACTAAAACAACAAAACAAAAAAACAGAGAGAAAATTTGGTGGGTGGAGTCTCCTTTTTAATAAATAAACACCAAATGTTTCTGATGCCTGTTGTGTAAATCTGCAGCAGCTTGAGAATCTTTTCTGCTTACGAGCTAGGCAAGCACTTTCTTCCCCATCACCTTCCATAATGCATCTTTGATCTCTTTGTTCCGTAAACTGTAAATGAGAGGGTTCAGCATGGGGATCACTAGAGAATAGAACACAGACACTGCCTTATCCCTGCTGAGTGAGTAGCTGGAGCTTGGTCGCAGGTACATGAAAAGAGCTGAACCAAACAGCAGAGTCACCACCATCAGGTGCGAGGCACAGGTGCTGAAGGCTTTCCACCTGCCTTCCACCGAGCAGATCTTCAAGACAGCAGACACTATGTAACTGTAGGAGACCAGGAGGATGAGGAATGATGTTCCTCCAACAGCTACCACCACGAGGTAGTTCATCACTTCACTGAGGAAGGGGTCAGAACATGAAAGAGCTAGGATGGGTGGAAGGTCACAGAAGAAGTGGTTGATGACATTGGGTCCACAGAAGTGGAGTGTAAATAAGGAGCTGGCCTGGATCAGGGAGCTCAGGAAGCCTCCGACATAAGCTCCGGCCACCAGGCGTCTGCAGAGGCCCTGGGACATGACAGTGCTGTAGAGAAGGGGCATGGAAATGGCTGCATACCGGTCATATGCCATGGCAGTCAGGAGAAAGCACTCAGTGAGACCCATGCCAACAAAGAAAAAAAACTGAGCAGCACATCCTAAGAATGATATAGTCTTCTGCTCTTGGAAAAAGTCTGTGAGCATCTTAGGGGCCACAGTGGAAGAGTAGCAGATGTCAATGAAGGACAAGTTGCCAAGGAAGAAGTACATTGGGGTGTGCAGATGGAAGTCACCTCTGATCAGAAAGATGAGTACAAGGTTCCACACTAGGGTAACAAGATAGATGCCCAGGAAAGTCACAAAGAGGAAGGCTTGGAGTTCCAGATGATCTGCAAGTCCCAAGAGGATGAATGTGGTCACTGATGAGTGGTTCCAGGCTTTGACTATGGCCATGGTTCCCATGGACCACAAGTACGAGATGCAGACCTGGGTTAGAAATGATCATTCATGACACAGATGGTGTCAAGAAGTGACTGCAAGTGCAGGAGCTTACCAAGGGTAGGTGATTACCAGGTTAAAATTGACACAGGGATCGTTTCTTTCTCTCTCAGAAGCCTAGTGGTGTCATTATCTTATATATTTGAACAAAACAGTGCCACTGACATGATTTCAGGCTTTTGATTCATTCCTGAGCCCCAGAGTTAACTCCTCCTGATTCCATTATTTGGGTGAGAAACTGGCCAGTTTTGCTTCAATTTCTTTATTTATAGAACTGAGTGACAGTGACTATTTCACATATCTGTTTTAAGAATTATATACGTCAAAATATGTTAAATGCTTGATACCATCATAGTGACCAGTGAGTTATTAGCATGAAGTTTCTGTGTATTCCAGATGAGTCAGGTCATGCCTGTAAATAACTAGTCCTCTGATTTTTGCGGGTTTCCACAATAGAATGGAAAAAGAAATGGAAGTTTGTGTAGAAGTGTGGTTATAAAATTTTTGGTCAGATACACAGAGCACTGTCAATGCAAAGGGTCAGAATGGCCATGTATAGAAATGATCTTAATTATCAAATGCCTGCGTATGAATATATTAACATTGCTCCAATTTCAAATTTGCATCAATCTGAGCCTCCAGAGCAAAAGTGTGGGCTCTGGATCTAAACTCTCCCAGTTTAATTCCCAGCCTCACCACAGTTATAATCATTCTGGGTCAGATATGGTCATAGTTTGGGAAGTAATATTTTCTGGGTTCATTTTTCTAAATTCGAGATAGTTGTTTCATTTTAAATTTCCAGTTCTCACAAATCAGTCTGTATCCTTATAGCCAGGAAATTAACACTTGCCTTTTAATGATTTTCCTGGAACTTGCACAGGGAGATGAAATTGAGGCCTATTCTCTCTCGTCAATAAGTGCTGTGATATATTTTCAGTGCTGACTCCTTCAAATTTGAATAGTGAGGGAATTTGAAGCTCCTTTCAGTAATCATGAGGTCAGTATTTATGCAGTCTTCAGAGTAGCTGCAAGCCTGTCACAGTGATGTAGGCTCTATCCTATGTGCCGAGATTATGTGCTGGTCTTGAAAAGATTTGTGGAATTGCTAGAGGTGAGGAGGTTAGATAGTCCTGCAGCATACTGTGGCAGATGGAGAATCACACAGAGAAATTGGGGGTTAAAAAAGATACAGCTCTCCTAAAACCCTTACCCACCTGGGGAGGGAGGGTCAGCCATTTGCAGAGCAGAGAGCAGCTGCCTGAATTACGATTCAGTGCCACTTAAGACCCCTGACATCAAGGCCATTGGGATACCTACAGCTTAGCAGACAGAAGACTGGGACCAGATACTGTGATTCTGTGGAGCCTTCAGGACAATCCTAGTCCTAATCCTGACTGGCACTTGGCAGGATGGGATGTTGGGTAGCTCATTTAGCCTATTCCATTCCCCATTTGTCAAACAGTGGTAACTGATGACTTCACGGAGTTTGAGGATTTAGCTCATGGGTGCTGAGATAGGATGATAAACAAGAAATTTATTAAACAATAAATTGGGAGTGTGGCTATTATTAATGGTGATTATTTCTAAAGAACTATTTATAGAAGTGTCTCATTCTGAATACATTTCCTTTTTCCGTACTAGGTTAGAGTGCTCTTCTCTTATAAAAAGAAGTTCACTAATTCTTTCAAGTTTTTAAGAATTCAACTTTTAAGAAGCCTTTAGAGTGAGTTGAGGAATTTAATGACTTGCAGGTTGATGGATTATCTAAGTCTGTTTTTAATGTTACCATCAGGAGAAAGAATTTTCACAATAAAGGATGAGATTTCTCAGTCTCAGAACAGAAAGTAAAAAAGGACAACTTGAAACAAAATCTAGGATTTATCTCTGAATATGGATGTCCCAAGTCTTATTCTGGATCAATAAAGAGAAGTATTTTAAAGGCTGTGTGAAATGCTTCATGTTGCAGAATTATGCTCACATGCCCATTGAGGGAGAAAGAAAACCTCTTCACTCCTGCAGTGACTGTGTGGAGGGTCTGTTTGGTTTATTTCAGGCTATCCCCCAGTCCCACTGGGGTTTATCCTCACAAAAATTCATACTAAAACTTTATTGTCAAGGCAGTGGTGTTGGGAGATTGTAACTTACAGGGAAATTATTGCTTTTTTTTATAAGATTAGATGTTTCCAAGGTAATGAATTAGTTCTCATGAGAATGGAATATTAGGTTTTCTATTGCTGAGATATAATACCTGAAACTCACAAGGAGAGGTTCAATTTGGCTCATGGTTTCAGGGGATTCAGTCCATGGTAGATGGATCCAACATAGAAGCATCATGGTACAAAGGCCTGGTGAAGCAAATCTGCTCACTTCATGGCAACCAGGAAGCAGAGCATGGAACAATATACCAGAGGAAGGGGCTGGGGACCAAATATAGTGTCTAAAGTCAAATCTCTATAACCTATCCAGACATGCTCAGATGTGTGCTCCACCAATCTCCCAGGCAGATCCCAAAGCAAATCAATTTGACAACAATAAGCTTAATCACTACATTCCACTCATTGTCAACCTGACACCCAAATAATCTCTTTAAACCACACTTAATCTCCAAATAAACAGAGTTAAAACTTCATAATTCCACCTAACATGTTACAACTACCCTGTGTACAACTAAGAGCACATAAGTCCTTACTCAACGTCTCAAAAGTTCCAGCATTTTTCAAAAGTCCAAGTCCAAGTCACTTTGGAGACTCAGGCAAATTCTGAACTGTGAACCTCTGTTAAAAAAAGAGTTAGGTAGGTTTTAATGGAACTGAATAAACATTTCTATTCCAAAAGGAAGGAAGAGAGGGATAAAAAAAAAAAAGAATCAAATCAAAGCAAGACTGGAATCCAACAAGGCAGACATGTAGCAAGTGGGTGGCTATAAAGAGGGGCAGTGGCTTTGTCTGTTTGCTCTCTTCTGCAAACACCTGTTTGCCTTTTCATTTTTTCTCCCATGTCATGATGCAGTTTGAGGTCCTTTCTAGGTGTGACCACAGGACCTTGGATTCCCAGCCTCTCAAACTGTGACCTAAAGAAACCTCTTCTTGTTGTACAATTTTCAGTATTTGATATTCTGTTATTGCAACAGAAAGTGGACTAAGAAAATTAATTGATCCTGAGAATTGATGAGTTGCAGTAACATTAACTAAATGTATGGAAGTAGCTCTGGAACCATGGAATGAACAGAGGTTGGAAGGCTTTTGAGGAGCATACTATAAAAAGTCTAGAATAATATAAACAATGTGTTAAGAGTAATTCTGGTGAGGATCCAGAAGACAGGATCAGGGAACTCCTGGAACCTCTTCAAAATTGCTTAAGTGGCCATGAACAGAATACTGGCAGAAATATAAACAGCAAAAGCCATTCTGATGAAATCTCAGATGCAAATGAAGAATATGTTATTCAACACTGGAGTAAAGATACTCTTATTTTACCACTGCAGAGAACTTGAGTGCATTTCATCCATGACCTAGGGCTTAATGAAAGTTGGAACTCAAGAGTGATGAACCAGTACATCCAACAGAAAAAAATTCTCAGCAAAAGGTAGAAGGGGTTTCCTGGTTACTGTAAATGATTATGCTGAGATTTTGAAACAAAGGAATACTGTAATGATGCAATTTACAATTAAAAGGACTATACAATTATTTGAAAAATTAGCAACCTGATCACATAAGGAATGTGGAAGCACACAAGGGTGTAGCCAGATGTTAATTAGGAATCAGCATGCATACAAAGGAGCCAGTGATTAATTATCAAGACAGTTGTGGAGGATGGACAGAGAAGTTCTAGAGACCTTTCAGAGGTCTTGGGAGTTGCCCCTCTTATCACAGCCCAGAGCTCTGGACAAACAGAGTGGTTTCAGATGATTGGCCTGGGGATACCCTCCCTGGGCTTGTTGCCCCATGCCAGCAGGGAACTCTGCTCCATACATGCTGGTCAGTCTCCTCCTTTGCCACTCAGCCAAGACTCAAATGGCTCCAGGTGACACCTGGACCACAGCTCTGGCAGCCACAGTCAGTGAGCCTGGGGGATGCCCATGGTTACTATTTTGTTTCAGCGACAAAGGCATGGGACTTTCACAGAGTGAATGGAGCAGGCAGAAATGTGCTGTTGGAGTCGAGTTGTCTTTGCCGCCGCGAATCGCAACAGGGTAATTCCCAGGGGAGCCATGGGAATGTGATTGTTGGGCTCAGGAGCCCTGAGCTGTAGAGTGGGTGGCAACTCCAGCTGGGAGAGCTGTAGACTCTGCACTCCAAGCTGAGAGAGCAGCCACATGGCCCAGCACCTGCCTGTACCTGTCCAGGAGCCAACACATAGAGCAAAGATTGCTCTGGAGTTTGGTTGGTTAATTTATACCCAGCTGAGTTTTGGACTCATTTTGGACCAGTTACTTCTAGTAATGGGAATGCTTAATCTGTGGCTGTTCCACACTGTATATTGGAAACAGACAGGTTGATTTTACAGACTCCCAGTTAGGCATTTGCCTAGAATCTCAGAGGAGACGTTGAATTTTGGATACTTGAGCTAAAGCTGGATGATTTAAGACTTTGGGACTTGGCTCAGGAGGGAGACACGAGTATATTTTGCATTTGACAAGTACCTGGATTTGGGCAGGTTCAGAATGCTATAGATTGCATGTGGTTTAGTTGAAAAGATGATGGTGTTGGGAGGTGAGGTTTTACAGAAGATTAATGTCTTTTTTGTAAAACTGAATTAGTTCTCATAGGAATGGATTAGCTTTAGCAAAAGGAGATGATTATAAAGTGAGCCTGTCTCTGTTCCCTCTCTCATCCACACATTTCTGCTTGGTTTCACTTTTTCTGCCATGTTACAATGTAGCATAAGTCTCTGGCTAATATGGCTGCCCAAACTTTTAGTTAGCTCCTAGAACTGTAAGATAAGTTAATTTCTTT